TGGAAAAAAGTTTTAGAAAAAAAGTTTTGCATACATTTTTGGGAAAAAAAATTTTTTTGGCAAATGCTAATTTTTGCTAAGTTGGGAAAAGGTTTTAGAAAAAAAAATTTGGAAATTTTTCAGCAAACCCTAAATTTTGATGAAAAAAGAATTTCTGCATGTTTCTCATCAAAGTATAGTTTTTTAAAAGGTTTTTAGAAACAAAATATTTTTGAAAACTTTTTTGCAAAAAAAGTTTTGGAATTTTTCAGCACACTATAATTTTGGTCAGATGAAAAAATGTATTTTCAAAATCTTTCTGCATGTTTCTCATCAAAATATAGCGTTGAAAAAATGTTTTCCAAAAAAATTTAATTTACTAAAAGAATTTTGAACAACATTTTAAAACAATTTTTGGGAAGAATTTTTAAAAGAAAAATTCTTATGAAAGTGGAGTTAGGGTTAAACTCAATCTTTTCGAGAAATTTATGACAATTTGACCTAAACAATTTGACAAAAAAAGTTCAAATTTTAACAAAAATTTTAATAACAATAAATTTCTAAAAATGTTTTCTAATTGCCCTAATTTTATGAAAAACATGCAAAAAAAGACAAAATTTAACATTTTTTAGTTTTTCACAAAAAATGACATGAAAAGTTTTTATTTTGACAGAACGTTTTATAAAAATATATTTCTAAATAGCTTCTCTAAATGCCCTAATTTAATGGAGTAAAAGATTAAAACAGTAAAAGAATTTACAAAAATTAAAGTCTGAAATTAATTTTGGGTTTGCCAGAAAATTCAAAAAAAGTTTTTTTTTCAAAAGAATTTTATGGAAAAATACATTTCAGAAAAAATAATTTCTAAAAAATATTTTTCTAAAAACTTTTTTAAAAAAGTGAAAAAAACATTTTTTTTTCAAAATTCTATATTTTGTTTAGTAACATGCAGAAAAAATACATTTTTGAAATGTGACCAAAATCTGACCAAAAATTATCATTTGCTAAAAAGTACCCAAAACATTTTTTTCCTAAATTTTCTTTCCAAAAAATATTTTTCTAAAAGAAAACATTTGTAAATATATTTTTATTAAATTTTTTCAACAGCAAAAATTAGGGATTGCCGAAAAATTCCAATTTATCTTTTCTTCTTTTTCTCTTTTGCATGTTTGTCATCAAAATATAGCATTTTCAAAGAATTTTAAAAAATGTAAAAAATATATTTCGAAAAAAAATTGGGGGAATTCAAGTCATCAAATGGTGAAAAATGAAAATTACAAAATACAAAATGTTATATTTTCTGCATGTTTCTCATCAAAGAGCATTTCTAAAAAAAAATAATTCTTTGGGGAATTCCAAATTCCAAAGTCCAGATTTTGCGTGTTGTGGTGAGATGGTAAAAGATTTGGATAAATTTGTGCTTCATGTTTCTCATCAAATTAGGGCATTTTGAGATTTTTTTTAATAGAAAAAGATATTTAAAACATGAAAAAATGAAAAAAAATTAAATATATAAAAATTCAAAATTTAAAAATACGAAATTAAACAATTTACATTTTTTTAAAATTTAATTTACTTTTTTTAAATTTCAAGAAAATTTTACAAAATTAAAAAAATAATTTGAAAATGACTGAAGCTCAACAGCGGGTTTTCTTTCTTTTTTTTTTATCAACATTTGTTTCCGAATATTCCATCTCGTCCGTATAATACATACATATATATTTGTACATATACATTTGTCAAAAATAAAAATAACGTTTATAAATTAGAGGATTTGATTTTGAAGTGCATCGTTTGTTCCTTTCGGTCCAGGTTCGGTTCAAGTCATCTGTAGTACAGAGCGACGAAAGGCGTATGTGAGAGTTGAACGCTGCCGCTTCCGCAGGACACCGCTGCCCCACCGCGGCTGCAGCTCAGGACCAGACCTAGCTCCAGGTCAGGCAGTTTGGTGAGGACTCCGCCCCCCCGTGTCTGACCTCGGGCCTCCTGAAGAGCGAGCGAAGCGGGCTTCTGGATGAAGGCCATCCGCCGCATGTTCACCACGCTGTGACCCCCTCCTGCGCCGGTGCCGCCTGCTGCCCCCTGCAGGCCGCGGAGGAGGAACAGCAAGTCCACCCGGAGCTCCGCTCGTGTTCCCTCTGACCACAGGCTGTACCTGAAGGAGGAAAGAGAACAGTTTTAAAAACAGACGAAGAAGGGCTAGCACTGAGGACGTAGCTCCGCCTCCACAAGGGGGCAGTCTTCTCTCGACTGCGATGTTTAAGTCTAATGAAAATCGAATGAATCGTCACCTGGTGGGAAGACCGTCTTCCGCCCTGGACGGCAGCACCGGCCGAACGTCCAGGTGGAGCGGGTTGAAGATCTGCAGGTGAAGCTCCGCCCTCGTCACCGCTAACGACAAAACGTCTCCGGAGAGGAGGAACTCCACGTCTCTGTCTGGAGGCAGGGAAGAGAAGAGGAGACTTTGAGTCAAGGACTAGTTCGTGTCTGACACACAGAACTGCTCCCCCTGTGTTCGTCGGTGGTTCTACGTCACCTCAGAACACCGAGGAACGTCGTGTGCATGTAGCTTCAAAAATAAGACAAAAATTAAAAAATAAGACAAAAATAAAAGGTCATATGCAGACACCAGAGGGCAGTATTTCTTGTATTGGTTTTCTAATGTTTATAATTTGTCTGTAAAAAATAAGGAGAATTTGACACAACAACAAACACATCATTACATAAATTAAATACGAAGAGAAAACGATTTTTTTAAATTGTAGTTAAACCAGTACACGGTCTGAATACTTGCCTCCTCTCATGCGGCCTTGGATCCCCTTGACGCTGCTGCAGACCCCCCCTCCCTGACAGCACTGGTAAACTTTACGCACAAAGTTGGCGGCCGTCCCGGGAACAGGAGACCCCGAGAGGCGTCCGCGGGGGAAAAAAGTCGACCCCGGAGCCGAAGAACCATCGCTGTATCCTCCTCCTCCTCGGCGTGCCGCGCGTTCTCCATCCACGCCGCTCCCAGCTCCGCGCAACGATCCCGGCGCGTGTCCTCCGTACTGTCCCGGCGCCACCTCCTCCGCTCCGATCTTGAAAGCGGTTCGAGCGTCGAAGGTTTCTCGCTGCCGGTTCTCCGCGGGAATCCCAGCGCGGCCACGGCGCGTCCGGACACTCCCGCGCCGCCGTGCAAAGACAGAAGAAATAGAGAAACTCCGAAACACTTCACGGCGGAGGCCATGTCGGTACAATCCGCAGATCCAGATCGTGGTCGGACCCTGACTGACTCTCCAGTCCCGGGTCTCCGCCTCTGTTTTTTAAAAACCCTCTGACAATGGCGGCAGCTCAGCTCTCCCCGAATTTGAATAATGACCCTCCTTCTCAGCCCTGTCGCTCTTTTGTTGCCACCTCTAACCACCCATTTACCCCCAGCGGCGTTCTTTTAACGCCGCTGCATAATGAGGCGCCCCGAACAGCGCCGCCTGCGTCCATTCACATTTACATTCAACTGTCGGCTAATGACTCGTAATTAGCCTCAGATCTCATTTGCAACACACGCAGAAACCAGAGCTGGGGACATTTTAGGGACATCTGCCCCCCCTCGGCAGCGGCTGATGACGTCACGTGTGGTTCAGCTGGGGTCATCGATTTTTAGAGAAAATCCCTTTCAAACCACACCGGGGCTCCACACCCTACAGTTGGTGGGAGGGGGGGGGGGGGGGGGGGGGGGGAGGCAGTGACGGCTTGTGGTGGCAAAGGTAAGGCATGAGGCCCAGGCGGGGGACGGAGGTCGTTTGAAAACCTGCAAATTCAAGTTAAATACAACGTAAAAAAAATAATGAAAACGAACTTTGACCCAAATTCTGATGAACCAAACCTGAGGGTCCGATACCGACCTGGACCGACCCAGGAGAGGAGTAGAACATCTCCAGGTTCGTTGGGCTCTGATCTGGGACCACAGAAGAAGACCACAGAAGAAGACCGCAGACTGAAATAGATTTTTTTATTTTTTTTTTATTTGAAGTGTTTGAGTTAAAAACTAGGAGTGTATATCGGCAAGAATCTGGCGTTACGATACGTATCACAATTCAAGGGGCAACGACAGGATATATTGCGAAACTGTAGTATTGATACATTGAGTGCCCCCCCCATCTGAACATCAGGTTAGCAACTTCAGAACAGCTAATATCCGATCAATATCAATAACAATATCCGAACAGCTTGTCGCCCTCTACAGTCTCATCCTTAACTGACACTCAGAAGTCCTGGACCTCAGACGTGTTGACGTCATCAGAGCCGAACCTGGGGGGCGGGGGGTTGGGGGGGTCACAGCAGGTTGACCCCGTGCTTAAGGAGCCGATGTCGTGCCTTTGTGGGCAGAGAGAAGGCGCTGTCCTGGTGGTTGGGAATCCCAGAGTTCCTCAACAGTCCCCCGTGCTGCTGGAAGTACGTCTCCTGGGCCGCGCTGCGGGTCCCGTACACTGCGGCGCCGGCGCTCCTGCCAGAGGTCAGAGGTCACACACATTAACGCGTCAACGAGTCGGAGGAGCGCTCGTGCTGCTGCCGTTTCTGACCCGCAGCAGAGAGATGGCGCTCTAACACTGACAGACAAAACCGACCTGCTGCTTCATCACAACGACGACGACGACAACAGTCAGAACAACGACGACGACAACAGTCAGGACAACAACAATGACAACGACAGTCACAACGACAGTCACAACAACAACAGTCAGAACAACAACGGCAACAACAACAACAGTCACAACAACAATGGCAACAGTCACAACAACAACAGTCAGAGCGACGACAACAACAGTCACAACAACAACAATGATGACAACAGTCAGAACAACAAGGCTACAAACATGATTTTTTTTTCAACAAAACAACAACAGGATGTAGCTGTGAGAACATTAACCCACCCCCGAAAATCACCCCAGTTTTACTTGAAAAGAACCCCCCCTCCCCAGCACACACACACACACACACAATGCCTCTGCCACACTGACCTGATAATAGCCTCCTGCAGAGTTTTAGTTTTCCAGAAATGCGAGTGAAGAAGTGACGTAGCTTTGACAAAAGGATGCTCAGTGGCTCCCCCTGGCTGGGCAGACATGTTGGCTGCAGAGACACAGAACAAAAAAAAAACATCAACACACACAGTGAGAAATATGGCTCTATTATAGCATCGCAGCATATCACATTGCCAGATTCTTGACAATACATCGCCCCCTACTGGACAGACAGACGCGGGTGAATGTCAACAACTGCAACAAGGATCGAAGCCAAAAAGGTGTCGGCGCCTCGGGTCTGGACTCACTGGTCATGGTGCTCTGAACACAGTCGAAGTGGGCAAACATGTAGGGGGCAACTGGGGGGGCGGGGGCAACTGGAGGGACAGCTCTGAGGTGGGCTTCCAGGCCGTTAAGCGACGCCAGGCTGCTGTGAAACTGGAAACAGAGTATTCAGTCAGAGATGAGAGCGGACCACCCTCACCCCCGACAGAAATGACAAAAGTTTCTCACCACTTCCTCCATCGAAGCTTTGTTGTTCAGGAAGTCAGGATCCACCAGCAGGGCCAGAACCAGACCTTTGACCCGGTGCAGGTACAGACTCATGCAGATCAGACTCTCTGGGCTGTCTGAAGAAGAAGGAGGAGGAGGAGGTCCACACACCTCTGCCTCCTGACCTCCCACATTCCTG